ATTTTCAATTATATCCTCCTACTGTTTCTAGTTTGGAAATATAGTCAGCTTCCACCATACAACCATTTAAAAAATAGTGCAGCCTACTATGTGTTTGATTCAGCATCCTGGCAGAATGTTCAGATGCCACTTTCATCTTTGAAGTTCAAAATTCCACCATCAGTCATAGTATAAAAATAGAATAGAAATAATAAGAACAAATGATATATTGACTTCATTAACAATTTCAACTGAGCACTTGCAGAGATCAAGAAATTGAACATACTCTGTTACAGAAGATTTCCTAGGTGCTTGCCCAGGCTTTTTAAATATAATCTAGCTACTTCTCTCTTGCCAGTAGAAGAACTAAAAGTACTAAACGTGAATCTTTTCAGATACACAAGATTAGGTACCAGTGACTATCAAACTGTTGGCTAAGCAAACATCTCAACTTCCACCAGCATTTTCAGAGGTGAATTATCTCAACAATGAAGTTTTAAAATTAACACAATTCCCAGACAGAATCACTGTCAAAATGAGGAGAAATTCCCAGTCTTTCCACAAATGTCTGAGCAAACATTTGGCTGTGTCTTCTTTAAGAGTTATAGAATGATGGGTTTTGCTAGGACTGGTGATGGGAAGGAGAGAAAAACATGTCAAGTGTGGTAACATTCTCAGAGAAGAAATGAAAACTATAATGTGTTTTAGAAAGACCAGTTCTTATGAGGCAGCTGAACTAGGTTCTCCTTTTCCTTGCAGAAAGACTCCTAGACATTGTCCTTTTCAAGGAATAATATCCACACACACCCTCCTGCCCCGAGGAATGTCAGCCTGAGCTTGGATTTTCCACTTTCTCCTTTGGGGCTACGGTGTCCCCGCCCCAACCCAGCCAACTGGCCCTTTGTTAACAAGCGCGTCCAGCCGGGAAAGTGATTGATCATCAGGGAGAAAGGCCAATGCTTTGACGGGTCGTTTAACAATTTCAATTAAACTGCTCAGCATTCAAACGCCAAAAAAAAGAAAAAAAAGAAAAAAATGTTTGGGAAAAAAAAGGACACTTTTCCAGAGCTATTGTGGGCAAAGCTCTTATGGCAACTTAGCCGGGTCAAAAAGGCCTTCCTTACAAAAGGTACAAGGTTTGCAAAATGTATTACTTATTTATTTATTAAATGTATGTGCCGCCCATCTTGTCCAGAGATGACTGTTTTCCCTTTCTAGTTGAATTATCAAGAGTTGTGGTAGCACATTGTTCTTCTACTCCATGCACAGCTAGATATCATTTTTGCCCCTTTTCGATAAAACATTGCCTACAAGCCCCATAAGTTTATACAGTAATAGGCATAGTGACCCATTTGTAGACCTATATCTTTCAAGCCATGCATTGCTTAAGAATATGCCCGCTGAATATTAAACTACATGTTCTCAAATTCCTGTCGCTGGGATTGGCACTTGATTCTTGATTATGTGCAGTGACTTTTTTTAGATACATGAGATCCCCGAGGGCTGATCAGAAAGACACAATTCTGAATCCATTGAGACAGGGGAAGGGTTCTGGCAAGGATTTTGTTTTTTTAAAAAAGGTCATCTCATCCTGTCTTATAGAAAGAGGCTGCTGCTGGCTGCCTCCATGGCCAACTACATTTACAAGCCATACAGCTCATCTGAGGTGCCTAAACTGGATATACTTATGGGTGAGAAAGGCCCTTCATCATCGGAGAGCCCACCCAGCAACTGCTCAGCCAGGTAGCCTGAAAAGGTGATGCTCAAAGTAAACGCAAAGGGAGTGGCAGACCGCATCAACTAGAAAGGTGGGTGCAGGAATTCCCCTTACAACTGAGATGAGAAGGGTAGCCTCATTTGGGCTGGGTAGGAGCTGATCCTAAGGAGAGCAGAGAAAGATGGGAGGTTAGTACTATTGGAGGTAAATCAAGGGGAAAACATCTTTTCCTCCTGCCTTTCTTTTTCCTCTTCTTTCCAAAGTCAAGAAGTCTGGCCTGCCAACTAAGTAGGCTTACCAAGGAACACCTTTCCTTCCACAGGGCACTTTCCTGAGGTGCTTGGGTGGCCATTACAATCCTCCCACCTCCAAAACCTTGCTGTAAATTTGTGCAATTTGTACTGATGGCATCAATTGGGAATAATCAACCTCCCTACCAAATTATTTCTTTAAAAATGAGATTTCATTGTATATATCAGGAACCAGCCACTTGCAACTCAAAAGGGCCTTGGCCTAGTTTCATATACCCTCAGCCTAATTTGAAGAGTCCTTTGCAAACAAACAATTGATCTCTCAAAACAGATATTTCTCTTTCTCAATACCCAAAGAGTAAAAAAAAAATGCCTCAGAGAAAGAAAATGCAGGTCACATTCAAATTTGATTGTGATCCTTTTCACCACTAGCAAGTATTGCAGCTCCCACCATATTAATCTTATGGGAATGTGGTCCTTAGCAGAAAAAAAAGACTGCCTAACCTAGCTATCAGCAATTAGATATGGGGGATTGAAGGTATAATCCAAATGTATTTGTGTCTATCCCAGGAGAGATGAAGTGTCCCAATATGTAGGACATGCGTCAGCAAGCTTTTTCTTTGAAGGCACTGCTTTTTCTGCTTTAATTCTTTCTATGTAGAACTAATATTTTTCTCTATACTCATTATTCTTTTTCTCCAGAAGAACTGCTATAGCTCCCAGGATCTACTTTCACCCAGCAATTCATTAAATGGTTGGTATCTACACAGTAAACGCTAACAATTTTGCTGGTTGAGAATCCTAGGAGTTGTAGTTCCTGGTAAGGATGGCATTTGTGAAACTGCAAAACAAATACAAAAGAGTCCTTGATTTAGGATTGATCATTTAGTGACTGTTTGAAATTACGACAGCGCTGAACAAAAGGACTTACAACCCCTATCTGAAATTCCATCCACTATGGCACCCCCCAGGGTCACGTGAACAAAATTTGGGTGCTGGGCAATCCGATCATCCTTACAACTAACCACAAAGAAACTGAAACAACCACTGTCTATCTTCCTCTGTCTCCTGGCCCACTGGATCCTGACAGGCCTTGGGCCTGCTTCCCTACCCTGCTGAGTCCAAAACCCTCCTCTCCATCCTGTCACGGTTTAGTCACTTATCTTTTCTGTATGTCTCCTTCAAGTTGATGCAGCCTTTGAACTCCCTATACAGTACACAGATCACATGGTGCTATCCTGGAAGCAGGGACTATTTTGGGAGGTGGCCCCAATGAATTGGGGCCACACCAAAATGGGGCCCGCTTCCGAGATGGCACCATGCAGCCTCCATACTATACAGAGAGGCCGAGGGGCAGATCGGAGATCATCTTTGGGAAGGAGAGCCAGCCAATCTGCCCCTCGGCCTGCCTATAGAGTACGGAGGCTGCGTAGCACCATCCTGGAAGTGGGTGCCATTTCGGAGTGACCACAATTTATTTATTGTGGTCACTCCCAAAACGGCATCCAATTCCAGGATGGTGCCCGACAGCTTCTGTGTAGGAAGGCTGTGTGGCAATGCAGCTGCTTCCCAAGGAAAAGGTCAGTGGACCGAGCCATGATGGTGGTGGGACCTGGTGAAGTGGAAAGCAGGCTTAAGGCTTCCTATCCTGCGGGAACCCCACAGGATAGGAAAGCAAGCTTAAGATCTGCGGGGATCCAATGGGGTGGAAAGTGGAGCACAGGATGCCCTAGGGGATGGGAGAGGCCTGAGTCAGGTCATGTGTTAGTTGGGAAGGTGCTACAGTGTGGACCTGCGCTAGGCCTCCCAGGGCCTCCCCCCCATGCCTGAGGCATACCATGCTCTGCTTAATTATCATAAAGGGGAGAGAGGGATTGAGATCATATGAATGCCTTGCTTAAGGACCATCATGACTTACAACGTGGGCAGCATAAGAGCCTTTCTTATGGTTCTCTACTTGCAACTTGTAATGGGCAGGTTCCCTTATGTTATATGCCGAGGACTACTTGTACTGGAATAAATCCATCACTCGCACTTTATTTGCTTCCATCTTCAGCCAAGCAGGTGTCAGAGATGCTTCCTGAAGTTTGCCTTTCTTGGCAGATCATTTTAAAATCTTATGCAAATCCCTTATATCTGAGGCAGAAAACCATCTATTTATAAAGACTGGAGCTTGGTCACCTGCTGATATCCTTTTCCCAATATTTTAAGTATGTTTTAACACAAAAGCTTTATTTCTACTTAATCTTCTTGCCCTCTGAATTTTCCCAATATTGAACAGATGGCCAAAACATACACTCTCAAGTAATTTATTCTGATTAAAAGCAAAAGTTAAAATTAGTTTTCTTTTAACATATTGCATATTTCATATTTCACATATGCTTCCCAAATAAAATGATGCAGTTATTATTCAAAAAGAACCCCAAATCCCAGCACCCACACCTTCCCTATCAAATGCAAAATAGGAAGATAGTTAACAGTAACACCATGAGCTCTTTGCTACTATACATGAAAGAAAAATTGGAAGTCTCCAATAAAGGTAAAAGTAAATGATACGCACCTATTCAAGAGGAAGAAAAAAAAATACATGTTGCATATGTAAGAGCATAATTCAAATACAAACTTAATATATTTTACAGCAGTGAGGAAGAATATGTTCACATCACTTCAGTGCCTGCTAACCCTTCTCTTCAGCTATTATGTGACGATGGGCAGCTTAAGAACGTTTCTTATGGTTCTTTACTTTTAAATCAGGCATGGACTGGACAATCTTTCCAACCAGGAAGATTCCAGATAAGATAGTCCTCAAAGAGAAGATTGTTTTCTTAGGTAGAACTTATATCCTGCTGCTATTTCCAACACTGTTAACAGTTCTGGATTGATAAAAAGAAGTATTTTATACATTATGAATCACCATAGAGTCATCTCTTACTATTGGTCTCTATATACTGTATAACCATAGCCAGTTTGCCAAAAGCCACAGAACTGCAGCTAATTTACTATTGACCCAAGTGAAAGCAAAATATCACGTTAGGGTGTAAGGAGATACTCACTACTTTTGGACACCTTGATCTTTGCTACCAATTTCTGTACACCAGGTACATCCTCATTTTTCACAGCCTGGATCAATTCCTGTTCTCGCCCCATGATGAACAAGGGCACTGCTCCCAATTTATGAAGCCATCCAGATGCTCCGTGTGAGAGATAACGACTCAAGAGAAAGTCCCCAAAAATGGTAGGAGTAAAAAGGCCAAGAAACAAAAATATTTTTAGAACTCTCACAGTACATTAAAAAAAAGTCTAGTAATGATAAATATCACTGGGCATTAAATAATTTGGTGCTTAATGACTGGATCCCAGTTGTGGGAAGAAGTTGGGAAGGAAAAATGAAAAATGAATGGGTTGTAGCAACAGAAAGAGTGTTATATTTAGCTGTTCTTGCTAAATAAGAGCATTCTCTCCAAATCTCCAATTCTTCCTAGGCAGGTAGAGGTTTGTCTCAAGTGGTAGGAATCCTCTGTTTCTCCACGTCTGTAGATGTAGAGCCTCTGCAGCCAATGCCTGAGTTGTTTCTCAGATACCTATGAAAATAAAAGTCAGAATGAGTTTTTGTTAAAGACTTCTGAACCACTGGAATAAAGGTAGTCCTTGACTTATAACCACAATTAGGACCAACATTTCCATTGCTAAGCAAGTTGGTTAAGTGAGTTGCACCAATTTTATGATCTTTTTTGCTATGGTTGTTAAGAGAGTTAATCCTGTTAAGTAAATCAAGAAGTCATTAAGAGAATCCAGCTTCCTCATTGATTTTGCTTATCAGAAGTTGGCTAGGAAGAGCGCCAAATGGTGGACACATGACTCCAGAAAGCTGCAACTGTCCTAAATATATGCCAAGCACCTGAATTTAGATCATGTGACAATGGGGCTGCTGTGATGGTCATATGTGTGAGGACTGATCGTATGTCACTTTTTTCCAGTGCTGTTGTAACTTTGAACAGTTGCTAAAGAAATGATTGCAAGTCAAGGACTACCTGTATTGTGCTAATATAAATCCTGGATTACAAGCAATTTGCTTTTTCAGTTCAAGTACAATTCAATACTAGATAGAACTGGGGTGTCAAACTGCCGGACCACAGACCGGATGCATCATAGCAAAACCGCACCCACTCCATTGCCAGCAATGGCAAAAAAGTCACGATACGTTGCGACACATCACATGACATTGCAGGTTTGACATCCTGAGATAGAATATATTCTCCATGAAATGAATGTTTCACTAGGTACACAACAGATGTAGGGGAGAGAATGCAAGAAAGAAGTAGCAGCTGGGCTGAGAAATCTGATTTCCCAATTACTATAACCCTCCCTTAATCTTAATGTGCTTTTCAAAATGTTTACCAGAACTATTTCAAGGGTATTTCCTCTTAGACTTGAGATCTAGGGGCTTTCTCTGTTAACATAAGCCAAAATCAGGGGTCTCAAATTTCTGCAGAAATTATCTGTAATATTATTAAGTATCTCATCAATGATATAATTGCAACCATATGCACTGTTAGATCATAGGTAAACAGATTTCATGGCCTACAGGACCCTTTAAAACAAAAAAGAGCAAATATCCATCAATTGGTACATCGGTTCAATAGTGAGAGGTATGCTCAGAATTAAAGAAAAGTTAAGTTCTGTCTTTGAATACACACCCAGATGGCAGAATTTGTTCTATTTCAGGTTTTTCACACAAAAATCCAATTGTGATCTTTTTTCTCCTTCCAAATTTAAAACAAAGAGACAAATGAAGTTGTCCACATTGTTAAGATGAGAGAAATGGTAGAAAACAGAAAGCCAAACAATCAGAATAATTACATTTCAACTTATTTGCAATGGAAGACAAAATGTCATTCCTATTGCTGCTTTACAGCATCAGTAACTGGAGACAGTACTGAACAATATATTATTGTATCTGACTCTTACAATGTTATTTGTGTATGTGCACCTTTTAATTAAAAAAAAAACAAGCACAACATTCTGTTGGGCTTAAACTCGCTTCTGAACAAAGCCAGGCTTTACTAAAGGATGTTGTAAAGAGATTGCGAGCAACATCTGTAATTTATGAACAAGAGAATTGAAATGGCCTTAGCATGTTGTTCTAATGCCTGTTTATTGAATATACAGTGCTATTTCTCACTCCTGCCCAATACCTTACTATAGCACAAACTCTGAGATATAGGAAATCTGGAAAAAAAGAAAGTCCCTTTGGGCCTGACATTAAAAGCTATGAATTAAACATTAAAGGCTAGAACAGCCTTTCCCAATATGGATCTTACCAGTTTAAACTAGTAATTCTATAAAGTATGACTCACCCCCTATATACAGCCAATAGTAAGTGATGTTTAGAATTGTTGTTTAAAATAGAGTTCCCCAACTTTTCTGCCTTTGCAGACCGGCAAGGGGGGGGGGAGGAGAGAGTCCATGTGAGTGACAGGAACAAGCGCCCAGCTCCATTCGCACAAGTCATGGGCATATGCGCCCACCGCTCATGCAAATGGAACGCGTGTGCATGTGTTTGTCCACTGCTTGTGCAAGTAGGGATGTGGGTGTGCCTGCCACTTCCGTGGCCCAGTTCCGAATAGCTCAAGGCCGGTAGTGGCCCATGATTCGGGGGCTGAATAACCCTGATTTAAAACATCAGAAAGATCCTAACTTTGAGAAAGCTACCCTAGAAAATGTGAAACGTAAGACACCACAAATAATATTTAGCCAATAGTTATTGCAACAAAAATAAAAGGGTACCAGGGAAGTTTTATGTATATTTTTTTAGGCCTAAAATATACCTAAAATGTACCTTTGGATTTGAGTGAGTTCTCTTACAGCTGATGGATTATTCCTTCCTCCATACCTACAAACACTTTATTCCTTAAAATAAGGAAAGGCTTCAACTGAGTATTGAACTTTGCTTGGAGATATTCATATACAGATAAAAGCAATGTAGATGTCATCATACAAATAAAATAGAAAGCAGCTAACTGTATTTATTCAGGTATTTAGAGAATTACCATTAGAGTTGTCTTAATTCCTTTTCTACCCTGTCCTCTATAAAGATTATGGATTTGATCTCTGAAATATTAAACAAACAGTACTGAATTAATCTGCCTTTAACCCTCCAGTGTGCATTTGTTTGAATCTACTGCCTAACAATACAATGCAATGAGATATGTGCAGATCTGTACATTGGTAAAACAAAACAACCACTTCACAAACGCATGACACAACATAGGAGAACAAACCCATCATGACAAGATTCAGCAGTCCATCTGCATTTGAAAGACAGAGGTCACTCTTTCAAAGACAGCAAAGTCCACATTTAGATAGAAAGGACCACTGGTTTGAAAGAAGGTAAAAGAGGCCATTTATGTTAACACTGAGCAGTTCCTTCTCAACAGAGGGGAAGGGATAGGACACCACCTATCTCCTGACTACAACACAGTCCTTTCAGCAGTTCCAAGAAGGTTCCTCCTCCATTTGCACTCTGATACAGGTGACCCTGATGGCACAGATAAACCCTCAAGTGGCCTCAAGAGTTCTCAGGGACAGTGCTAACGACCAGATGACTGCAAAGAAATATGATCCTTTCAACCGCCCCCCTAAATCTCATCAGAACTAATCCTTCCATTAGCTCACCATCCTGCCAGAACTGATGAAGCTTCTTGGATTAGAAGCAAAATGTTTTCTTCTTCTTCCTCAAGGGAAAAACAGTCCAGTTGCCTTTTGGAAAAGTACCTTTGAGACACGATAAACAACCAGCTACTTTTTTTCTGACCAACTTCTCTTGTGTTTAGGGTGGGGGTAGATTTCCATTCCATTATTAATATTTGTTTATTGATCAAATGATCTAATTCGTCTAAACCATAATCTAGAAGGATTGTGTAACTATGCAGGAAAAATTAAAGGCACATATGTTATTGAAACACAAATCAAAACCCAGACGTGTAGATTTGCCAATCTTGCATTTCTCTGGTGTTGTCTGAACTTTTGAACTATAATTTCCACTGTCATACCCACAAAGGCAACTGTTGTGCTGGCTGGCAATGACGAGACCAGTTGACCATTGATGGAGGATCTTAACTTCGGAAAGGCTGTCCTTGTTTATGGCAATGGCTCTTTTCAAACCAGAAGATTTAGGAAGGACAACCAGCAACCATTCCTCATTTCTTGACCTCATGCCATCTTCTTCAAGGTTACTCAAAGGCCTGTCCTATCTTGCATAAATAAAAAATAATTTTAGCTCAGCTTGATCCATTCAGATAGGAGCGTGGGGAGCAAGTATTGCAGGACCAAAATTGTGTTTACATTGAAAAAAAAAAGGTGCAGCACTACAATAGTTTTATTCCCCCTTCCACTGTTAGTAGACAGTGGTCATAGTAAGTAGGAGCCTGTTGGGCATGAGCTGAAACAGAAGTGAGGGTAAGGTATGGACTCTCTTCCTCAAACAGTAGTAGCCCAACAGCATTCTTGTTGTTGTGCATATATAGCTTATACTTTCAAATAAGATGTCCAGGCACAGTGTTAATGTTCTGTTTATAAATTTATAAAATGCAGGGATTATCTTCTGAGGCACGCCAAACACATATAGCACGCCAAACACATATAGCAATTGACAATCTGGTCTGTCCTTTCACTATCCCAACTGGGATCTTTTTCTAGGCAAGATTTTTTTTAAAACTACCAAGACATAGCTGAGAAATCATTGTTTTTCTCTTCTAGGCAGAAGAAAGCAGAAGCTCCCTTAATCCACAGGAAAGCTCTCACAAAGACTCTACTCAAAGCATTTCCAGTGGCTGTGGTTTCTTCAGATCCTGTAGGATGACTATGAAAATATGTTTACTGCTTGGCACAGTTGTCACCAACAATGGACCTTCTTCTTTTTCTGTCTCAAAGGGAGCTGAGGGTTAAGGGCTTGTGGCACATAAAGCGATAATAATAGGAATAATTAGGGAGGCTCTGAAGCAAACAGTGGTTAAGTTCGAGGGGTTGAACATTCAACACACCAGCATCCTCCTCTATTGAATATTCCAAAATTAAGCAATGGTCTGGACTAAATATAGTATGTGAAAAAACAAGATTTCAAACAGACTGCTGGACTTGGGCCAGGGGGTTGCTCTGGCAGGACACTGCTTATGTTCAAAATGGATAACATATAGGACAGATAAAAAGTCTGCTCACGCTTTTCACTACCCTCCACCCACCTCTTTACAAAGGA